CTAAGTCATCACACACATGTGTACTAGTCAAGCTACTAGCTAGGTTTGTAGATGGACATAAAGTTCAGAAAACAAGACGTGTATGAGCTTGTTTAGTGTTCATTCGTATTCATTTAGTTATGTAAAAACATGTATGCAAATTATGTTTGGGATGATGTATTAAACGATGAGATAAAACAATGAGAATTTCGTTTAATAAAAGCTCTTGAGCATTGGTGTTTGTTAAGTTTATTCATGAATCATGAGCAAACTCGGTTAAAACTCACATAATGATGGTAGTGGTCATGAGTCATTTTAAACATTTCACTATGATTTTAAGGTGCTAAATAGAATTTTGTTGTTCGATAGATGTAAAAATGGGTCTATGTTCAATAGATTGTTTCGTTTTTTGTGCAGTTGGAGCCGGGAGTCTCTTGGAAACAGCCTCCCTACTTCCGAGTAGGGGCAAGGTCTGCGTACACATACCCTCCCCAGACCCTACTCTACTGTAGTGGGATTCAACTGGGTTGTTGTTGTTGTTGTCGTTGTTTGTTAATTTGTTTGTGACTTGTTTGTGAAGAAGCTCGATAAAGTGAAACGAGCTTGTTCTTGAACAAGAAATGAACAAACCTGAACACAAAAAACTTTAAACTTGGTGACGTTCAGCTCTACTTAACTAGTACAGCCCAACTCAGCTTGTAGTCATTTAATTACTGCAATAATACTATCCATATTTTGTAATGCAATTGGAAACATGTCATCGGTGCATTGGAGAACAAAGTACTACATATTAGGTAAATGAAGACAGACATGTATTCAAGTACTCGTTATGTTTTCTTTAGAGTGACCCTTGAAGGTCCAGTTCTAGGTTGGGTTATAGAAACATCAGAGCCTTTCAATTCCCAAATAAATATGATTGATCGAACACTATCTGACCATAAAACCCCAAATTTAGCAGCATGTTGGCTCAAAATATAGGTTTCTTTTCAAACATTGCAATCATGAAATCTTTTATCAATCTTTTACCAAGCCCGTTGTACAGTTCTGCGACAGAAAAATTGTAACCAGATCCCATAACGAGAGATAGATAGAAAAGCCCAAATGCGATCTTATATCTTCTATAGTTACTAATGTGAAGATGCATGAAATACTAATATGAAATTCGACCATGAAAATAACCTAAAATATCAATTTTGCAGAAAAATTATTTCTTAAAAAAGGTGGAAGAAGATGCAAATCACCGAGGGCAAGCAACAGAAATACCTCTTGTCGGATGTGCCTCCCTTTTGGCTAAGGAAGGATCGGAAAAGCGGCGAGTTCACGTCGTAAATCATCTTCGCGATCCAATGACAAAACGCCCCGAAATCTCTGAAACCCTATTTATTCTTTCTTCTTCTTCTGTTCCCAGCACCCTTCTCTAGTTTACGTCCTTCGGGCTGTTGCACACAAACGTAAGGACTTTTATACCCAAACCCTTGGGTAGTCTGGTCTCATAGAGTTGGTATAGTGTACATCCTGATGTACCTATAGGTACATCCCGGTACTACTCAATCTTAAATAAAGTAGTACTCATTTTCGTACAAATATAAACATTCATTTCGAAATACGTAGGACTCATTCTGGCAAAGATAGTACTCATTTTAAAATAAAATACTCATTTTTACATATTTATCTAATATAATTATAATAAATAGCGTAGTGTTCATTCTTTAAAAAAACAATACGCATTCTCAAATAAGGAAATGTTCAATCTGAAATAAAGTATTGTTCAATTTTTTCACAATTAAAAATTTCAGTACCATTATCAACTTCTTCCTCTATTCGATTCGTTCCTTCTCATTTATACTTTCTGAGCATGGAGAATTTAAAACTCAGGTTTATTCATGTTTGTATTGAATAAAAATGTGATAATTCTCATAAGTGCTGGTACTCTTTCTCAAATCTGCTGGTACTCATTGTCATATACTCCCTCCGTCCCAATTTATTTGCAACACTTTGAACGACGTGCAAAATATCATCTCTTTTAAGATCACTTTAATTTCAAATTAATAGAGTAATAAAAAGTAAAAATTATACCATTTAAAAGTATATGAAAAGCTCTACAAAACAAGATGCGACAAGAATATTTTATTTTATCAAATGGTCAACCAAAACGAGTAAACAAACAAAAGTTATCGAGAGGCCAGAATAGTAAACGTGGCATTCTTTCTGGGACGGAGGGAGTATAATAGTTCTCATATATGTTCTTGACATTAGATAAAAAATTTGCAAAATTTACAAAAATACCAGGATGTACCTAAAAGAAGGTACAGCTGGATGTACCATATAATTTGCCGGTCTCATACACTGTAGAGTCAGGCTACATATCAGTTTTGATCCAAAAGTTTAACACTAGAAAAATGCCACTGGTACACCAAAGGTGTACCCCATATGTCCCTCACCCCCTCCTTGTACACTAAAAAAGGCAAAAAAAAATTTAAAAAAAAAGTAAATAAAAATCAAATAAAAATGTGTGGTGGAGAAGGGGTGGTGTACATTTGGGGTACACCCTTTGGTGTACCCCTAGCATTGCTCTTAACACTAAGTTTGGCCCGTTTTCGATTTTTAGAAATTATTTTTTTGTCTGCACAAGTCTTTGAAAGGAGAAAAACAATAAGAGTAAATTCCATAAAAGATCCCCAGTTATACGTTGTTTTACATATCAAATATTACTAATTAGTCTCCAATTATTATATTCATTTTCACAAATGGTCCTTTGTTAACATTTCCGTTAACAACGTGGATAAAATTGTATATATTTATACTTCTCTCTCTTACCAATTAAGTTTCATCCTTCCCCTCGCACTCCTTTCCCAAACTCGTCATTGAGTTTGAAGCTCTAAACCTAAAACTAAAATGATCATTCATCTCTCAATTATTAGTCTTCTTGGTGTAACCTAAAATCAAAACCAATAAGCTTTATGGATGAGTTTTATTAGTTAGCCTCAAGAAATTGCAAAGAAAATAAACATTATAACTCATCCATGAAGATTACTGGTTTCGAATTTGGGTTCCACTAGTTAAACAAACAATTGAGAGAAGAGTGATGGTTTTGATTTTGGGTTCAAAGCTTCAAACTCAGCGACAAGTTTGTGAAAGGAGTGCGAGGAAAGGGATGAAGCTTAATTGAGAAGAGAAAGGAGTGTAAATTTACAATTGTATCAACGTTCTTAACAGAAAAGTGAACAAAAGACCATTCGGAAATGAATATAATAACTAGGACTAAATTAGTAATATTTGATATGTAAGGACTAAATATGTAAAACGAACTATAATTGAGGACCTTTTATGAAATTCACTCAAAAAATAACTTTCTCTTAAAAAAAGAATAAATTTCCTAATTAGTCCTTTATTATAGATGAGTTTATATATTTAGTCCTTTATTATCAAATATTATCTTGGTGATCCTTCTTTTATGGTTATCTTTCCACATATAGTCCGTTTTATCTTCATTCATGTTCGTGTTCATTTGAGGGCTAAAAGTATAATTTCACAATGATAATATATCTTTCTTGTCATATACAATTCCAAAGGTCACTCCTGATGTGTCGTTTGTGAATTACAATCGTTTTCTACTACAACTTTAGTCTACATATATGGTCTTTCTTTGGAATCCTAGCTCACAATCATAGTCATTATTTTTGCGTTATTCGTCTAACCAATATCAGAATACATCAGTGGATATGAAGTTGGTGTCAAATTATATTTTTAGACTTTAAATTAATACCAATATGACAGAAGATTAAAAAAGACTATTTGTAGAAAGGCACCCATAAAAAAGACTACGAGATTAATATTTGATAATAGAGAACTAAATATAGAAACCTCCTTGTTATAAAGGATCAATTATGGCTCTAAAAATAACTCACCAAAATATAATAAATTTTATTTTTTCTCTTTTTAATGCATTTTAGCTTCTTATTTTCTTTTATTCCACTCTTCACATTTTATCTTTACTCCGTTGGAAATAAAATGAGAACCAAGTATTTCTTCCTTTCTAGAGAAGAGCAAAAGGATTGGGACCACAAAGATCGGCCAGGGTCGACAACGATCGAGACATGAAAGATTGAGACCGAACAAGTCTTTAAGACTCGTTCGGTCTAAGACCGGTAGTCTCAAATAATACTTAATTTGCGATGAGAGCTATGACTAGTCCGAGACTAGTGAAGGACCTGCAGAAAACTTGGACCGATTTAGGATTGGTAAAAGATCGCTCTAAAGACTAGGACTAGCATAAAAGATTGATCATCCAAAGTAACTATTAGCATAATACTACATATTTAATATGTACTGAGTAATTAAGAGTTTATATTATACTAATTATATACATGCAAACAAAGTAGCAGAATGTAATAGCACAATTAAAGATTTTGGACTTCGGAATACGTATTAATAGCTTTAGGGACTTCGGAAAAACTAGTCCGGACTACTTTCTATGTTAGCGGTCTTTTCAAAAGACCGATTTAGTCCGACCAGTCAGGTCCTTTTGCTCTTCTCTTCTACGTAGTATTTTCTAATGTTTTTGTTCAATAGTTGTTCTAATGCATTTGTCCATTTTCAATATTTAGTAAGTTTATTGTGAAATGACTAATTCACCCAAAGGGAATGTTGGAAAATGTGAATTTCAATAGTATGAGATGCCTTCTCCCTGGCAGGCTGGTGGGGACTTCGTACCTCGAAGAGGTATCATTCAACTCATATTGGTTGAACGTAATTCGACTAATTTAGTCGTCGTTTTACAATGTTACACTCATTTCGATACGTTGGTGTGTGTCCTTTATGACACACAATAATGGATCGCCATCGTGAGAGGGGCTGATCTGCAATCGCTGCTTCTTCCATTACTGTACTAATCTGTCATCTGCTTCTCCGGATCTCCATTGCTTCTCAAGCGTCACTGCAATCCTTGGCTGTTTTAAACTTGCCATCTGTGATTTTATGATGTTTCCACACTCGAAAATTCGCAATACTTCTGTCTCAATTCAACTTAAATTGCTTCATTATATTACATCCTGTTACTAACTAGTAACCATATGGTATTGCATTACAGAAGTTCTCAAATCAAAAACAGGGGGAAACACTTTGAAAAAAGAAACTAGAGAAGAAACTGGGCTGATGACCGATTGGGATTACAAGAATCAATACGAAACCCAGCTTGGATGCGTAGATGGAAGAACAACGTTGGGTGGGGTTGAGTTGTACCAGCCAAGTTCGTCCATCATCTTCCCAAACAAATCACCCACCACATAAGAAACACCAGAAGCCATAGCTGCAGTAACAGCATACTGCAAGACAGTTAGCGAATATTCCTTAAACGTGTTGGCTCCTCTCTGGGTGTAAGCTTTTGCAATGGAAAGAAGAACGATGAACACAAACGAAGCCACTGCAACGGCTAAGAGCTTCGAGTCTCTATCGTCTCCCTCGCGAAATGTGAATCCGTAGATGACGGGTGGGGCCAGGCCGAATATGAGGTAAGATAACAGTGCAACAATGACATGAAGCAGGAAGTGCTTTTTTTGGCCTAAGACTTCTTGGTACTCACTTGCGGGGTGGTTCTTGTACAAGTCCATAAACTGCAACCGATCAAGTCCGAAAAAACATTAGTTCTTGAAATGCATTATGTGCCATAAATGATGACAAGATTCGATCACCAGCGAGATTTACGTACATTATGTGCCATGATGACAAGACCACCAATGAGATTTGCGACCCCAATAGTAAACACTCTCACTGCAAATATGGATCATAGAACAAATCTCTAAGCATAAAAAAGACCCATTGATGTTTTTTTTTTTGGATTGGGGGGGGGGGGGAGTTTAAAGGAGGACTTACATGTGGTGGCACCAGAGGCTGCAGCAGAAGAAACCAGAGTTAAGCTTGCAATTGCCTCCACTAGACCTCCATACACGACGCTCTTCACGACCTCTATAGAACTTGAACCTCTTCTTCCACTCTCCACTGTGGGACCTTGTGTGGTGGTTGTCAAAGCTCTTGCTTCATTCGTGCTCTCCTCAATTGGAATGTGCACCTCTCGTCCTGCCAGGTTTTATACGTTTAAAAAAAAACAAAAAAAAGTTATAACTTTTAGGAATAATCGTATTAATCAAATGATATAAGGAGTATAATACAAAGATGGTCTACTATTACCACTTGTAGTATGTGTAACATTATTCTTTCATTACCTGAGGAAGAATGCCTTTCTTCCAGACCCAAATGTGTTTCAGCAGAAGGCTTTCCGAGATAATGGGGCTCGTGTTTAATAGCAGCTGCATTACCATTCAAATCTGCTGGAGATGGAGTTTGGATTCCCTGAAGTAATGGTGTAGAAGCACTCTGCACAAGACAATCTCCGTCTCCTCTTAAATGCTCTTCAACTGGCTTCTTCTTCCCTGCTTGAAGAAGAACATAGATATTCAACAAGGTTCAGAATGGGGTTACCCCATGCCCATCAATATTTGTTGGTCTTACTTTAAAGCCTCCTATGACAAAAAGAAGAGATAGATGAACAAGAAAGCTAAGATAGAATCAATCACTATTATATCACCTTGGCCAGAAGAACAAGACTCGGAATCAGATAGTTGCTTTTGAGATGTGTTTGAGTTTGTTGTTGTTGATCTCTGCCCATCATAAATCCAATCCAGGAAGCCAAAGCATTTCCCTGCTTAACAACATGTTTTGTATGTGCTTACCATTTCTTATGATTATGATAATCGCAAGAGAAATTAAGGGTTCATTTGGCTACGTTAGTGACCGATACTCAACGCGTATTGGTCCCAAGTCTGATCTTTTCAAGTCAAACCAAACAAACTTTAATCATTAATTAGTACGATACATAAAAATTGCATATTACTGTAATGAAATAAATGTCTAAAGGTGTTCTCCCCAAGAAATATATAATGAAATTATTCTTGTATTAAAATCATAATCAAAATTTGCCAAATTTGAGTCGAAAAAATCAAACTGAATGAATACATTACCTTATTTTACGAGGGGTTGGTAATAATAATTACTAAAAAAAACACAAATAACTTATGCATACCATTATGAGATGCACTTTTTGATTCTTGTTGCACTCCAGCCCTCCCATCTGTACTTTTTTCACCATCTGCTGCTGCTACTCTGGAGGGAAGGAAAATCTTGAAACATGACAGACACCCAAGCAAATCCAAATCCTTCTCTGCTGGCTCCGGGGCCGGCAGCGGGCCCACAGGTGCTCCGCGCCTGATCCTCAGAACAACCTTGGAAATGGGGTTCCTGCAATGTGGGCAATAAGCGTCGTGTGTGCTGCGCAGCTTGTCTGCGGCTCTGCTGTCGAAGAACTCCAGCTCTATCACTTCATCTTCCCTCGAGCTTCCATGGACGTCTTTTGTGTCACCCCTCAGAGCGGCGTTGACGAGAGAGTGGATTTCTGCAACGTTTCCAATCTCTGCGGAAGTCTTGATGTCGCCATCATCGTGGTGGTCACCTGCTTTAATAGATTCTGCATGTATGATGAACATTTTTGGGTTTTTTCAATAGCTTGTAGTATGAAACATAGATTCAATGTTGCTTAAGGGTGTAGGTTGTAAGACTGCATTAAAGTAGTACTCCTTCAAGACTTTGTGCTCTTTTCTTATTACAATGTAGCATCCTCTCGTATATTCTTAACCTATTAAAGCACATAGAGCTGATACTACTAGGATTTAAACATGTGACCTCTCATCAAACATCATAACATCACAGCCCGAACTAAGCCTAAGGCATATATATTTCGGCCCTCCTCTTTGTCTCTCTACTCTGAAATCCGTCATTAACAATAGACCCTAAACGGGAACTCGATCAAAATCAAGATCACGTCATCTTTGCTCAGGCATTCAATCACGGGTTTACCAAGTACTCCGTATTACTTAATCATTATTCTTGTTTTATCATATGATTGAAGAATCATTATTCAACATAATGGTAGATGTTCATATGAGCTAAATAAGTATCTCGTATTCAACATTTGATATATCTCAAAAATCATAATGATCACTTAATTATGAATGAAGAAAATATCTCATGACTTTAATATACTCCCTCCATCCAAAAAATAAATTCTCATTACGAGTTACGATGTTGGACCATAGTTATTTTGAATTTATATGAAAAATAGTGTAAAACTAAAAAATAAAATTACAAATTTAAAAACTACATCAAGATCTTCATTCCGTCCCAAAAAGAATGTCACGGTTCAATATTCAAAAATAGACCGGGCAATCAGGTCAATCGGTTTGATTCTAGTTCGAATCTATTTGTTCGGGTTTCTTTCGGATATGTGTTATAATCGGTTTGGTTCTGTTCGATTCCGGGTTTAATTTGGTTTAATATTTTTTGGGTTTTAGTTTGGTTTTGGCTCGGGTTTATTTTGCTTCGAGTTTATACCAGTTCGGGTTTTACCGGTTCGAGTTTATGCCAGTTTCAGATGAGATCCCTTGGTATTAGAGTTCCTAAAGTTAGCCTTATGTGTAGCCTCCCTTCTCTTTGTGTATAGGGGGGTATATATAGACGTGTCAGCAATAATGAGTCAGTATATCCAGTCACGATGTCACTATAAATTGTATATACTCTGTATTAAAATAGACAACCGCCTTAGTTTAAGTGATAAAATACGAAATAAAAGATTTTACATGGAATTAATTGTACTTATAATTTAAATATGCTTTTCTAAAAAAAGACATCAACCAATGAGCTATTACATTTAACTAAATTTGAGTTTAATTTGTTTTGAATTTGATCAATATTGGGTCTAATCAGTTTTGGATCTTATCGATTCCGGGCTTAATCGGTTTAGGTGTAATTGATTCGGGTTCAATCGGATTCGGATTTGAATCGGGTCTAAATACATTCGATTCGGTTTCAGTTCGATTTGGATCATTTCTGGTGTTCATGTTTAATTTGGTTTTTCAGTTTTTGGGTTATTTCGGATTCGGTTCCGAGTTATTCGATTCGGGTTATCGAGTTCGGGTCTGTTTTGTCAGGTCTATTCAAATATTACGGGAATATTTGTTTATTTGTATATTTTCATCGATTATTTGATAAAATAAAATATATTCTTGTTACTTCTTGTTTTGAATAACTTTTGGCATATTTCTTAATTATGTAGATTTTACTTTTTCTTTCTATACCAATCTTTAAATTAAATAAATTAAAGAAACTTGAAATTTCATTTTGTTTTGCGTATTGTGGCAAACATTTTAAAACGGATGGAGTACAAAATTAGAGGTGACATGACTATATTATTTCATCAAATAAATAATAAAAATAAGTAAATAAAGTAAATAAAATTTGATCAAATGAATAATTAATACTCCCTCCGTCCCAAAATATAAGCAACATTATGCTAAACGAAGTAAATTTTTAAATTTTTTCAATCCATTTTATTTAAAGAATGGTCTACAAATGAAAAATAAAACTTACATAATTAAAACCTACGTCAAAAGCTCTACAAAACAAGTGGTGACAAGAATATTTTATTCTATCAAATAATCAATGAAAATGCAAAAATAAATAAAAATCTCGGAATTTTTAAATAGTGAAGTGTTGCTTATATTTTGAGTAGGAAGATATGGAGAATGACAATTGACAGCCACTAACCTCTGGCATTCCCGTGAAAAGGGGATGGTTTCAAGGGAATAAGAGTGCAGTCATCCATGCATAAATCCCCATTTTGGTAGGTCCATGTGCACTCCTGACATCTCCATATCCCTTGATTAAGCCGTACAAATCTTTATACAAGTTGAATGTTTTGCACGATAAAATTCCCAATTCCCTTCTTTCTAGTTTGACTTGGTCAAAATTTTAAATTTTAATACTCCTTCCGTCCCTAAATATTTGCAACATTTGTTTTTTCAGCAGTTGTGAGAATTTTTTGTTTATTTCTACATTTTCATTAGTTATTTGATAAAATAAAATATTATTGACACTTCTTATTTCGAAGAATTTTTAATGTAATTTTTTGATATGTAAATTTTATTTTTTATTTCTATACCAATATGTAAATAAAATGAATTGAAAAAGCTTGATATTTTATCTCGGGAATAGAAATGTGACAAATATTTAAGAACGGAGGGAGTATAAATTGCAAAAAAAATCATTGAATTGTACTCCGTAATATAAATTGATAACAATTAGTTTATTTTAATATATAGTTTTGAAATGTTACATTTTTAAAATATATATTCCCTCCGTCGAGTTTTTATCTTTCCAATTCTCATTACTACAATGGCATCTCGATAACTTATGATTTTTATATGTCTTCATTAAGGGTGAAGTACCAAAATAAGAGTAAACATTGATTATATACCAAAATAAGAGTAGAAAGATAAAATCTCCAAAATAGGAGTTGCTAACTCACCTTCTCACACAACAATCAGACCTCCTTTTTCCTGACCTCTTAAGCCCTTTCTGCTGACCGAATGTAAACAAATAACTTGGGAAAAACAAACTTGTCCTACTCACTACCACTTCCGGATTCTACAAAGGACTTCCCTTAAAAGATACTCCGTACCCTTTTTTCTTGCTTTCTCAGAGTCTCTTTACAATAACTTGAGGTTTTCTTTGCTCGCCTTATTTGATTCATTTTTTTTACCTTCTGGCGATGATGGAATATGAACTAACTTACGGTACTGATAACACTGAGATTTAATTTATTTTTACCATCATTTTAATTTATTACAATATTTATTATTTAATTGTTGATAAAATAAATGATATTCCAATTACTATTGCAGAAGAATAATATCGCTCTCTATTGCCAACATCACCCCCATAACATGCACCATCAACTTTACAATGCCACATAGATTGTCATAGAGTGTCAAAAAAGACATAATGTCAAACATTACACTATATAATCTCACAACTAATAATGCATAATGCCACAGATGCCAATATGTAATGTCACAAACGCAAAATATATATACAGTGTCACAAAGGCATAATGCCAAATCTTAGCCATGTTGCCATGTACGATTGCCGGCAACCATCGCCACTCGCAAATCTACCTTTATGGCGGCTGGATGACCAACCGCCCCACACGGTGGTAGACCTCGTTTTCTTGATATCAAATTGTCATCCCAAAGCACCCAAACAAAATTCAAAGAAAATAAAATTCAATTAATGATGAAGAGAGAACCGGTCATTTTGAGAGAAGGAGGTGAGGTAGCGTGGTAGATTTGACAAGGGTGCAGCGGCACGATGAATCTGAGAGGGGTGGGAGCGGCAGCGGCGATGGCATTGAAATTAGGTGGCGGTGAAGGCAACAAATGCTATGGAACGTAGAAGCAAACCGGGAGCAAAAACGAGATCCAAGGAAGAGGGATTATTTTTGTCAATTTTGATTTTTGGAGCAACACTAAGAATGGCAGTGATGTTTTTTAATTTTAATTAACTCCTATTTTGGGTATATAACTTAGAGACTCCTATTTTGGGGATATGCCTAATGATTTACTCCTATTTGGGAGGTTTTCTTCTTCATTAATCATTTGATCAGATAAAATATTTTTATCAAATATTGTTTTGTAAAACTCTTAATGCAGCTTTGAACAATGTAATTTATATTTTTTATTGATACGTCAATTTGTAAATAAAGTAATGTTAAAAAATATGAGATCTTGCACGTTATAGCTTGAAATGGAAAAATATAGTGTTACGATGTTTGACTGAAGTTATTTTCAAATCATTTTATATAAAAAATGGTATGAAATTTAAAAATAAAAGTTGCATATCTAAAAACCACAAGAAAAGATCTACAAAACTAGGGGTAACATGACTATATTATTTTATCAAATAGGACGACACGAAATAGGTCAGCAACCAACAAAGTGAATAAAGTTTGACCCTGTAAATAGTAAATGCAAACTTTATTGTTGGACGGAGGGAGTATAAATTATTTGTTGAAGTTAATTACTTAAAAAAATCAATTTTATTTAGTGTTATAAGTTTAAGATAATTATTTAAAAGAAATTTTAAATGTAATAAAGTACTATTTGCTTGAGTTAATTATTTAAAAGTTATTTTAAAATTATTTTATACTAGTAATTTAAGTCAAATATTTAAAGAAATAGGTGTAGTAAATTGTTTGATACATATTTACACGGTCAAACTTTAATCATTTTCTTTACCTATTTTCGTTAATTGTTTGATAAAATAGTATAGTCATGCCACCTCTTGTTTTTTAGAACTTTTGATGTAGTTTTTAAATATATAAATTTAATTTATTAATTTTACACCTATAATCAAAAAATTTGACTGAAAATAAAATCGGTCAAACCTCATAAACAGAAACATGAAGAATATTTTAGGACGAAGGGAGTATAACTTAAATTGAAACGGGTGAGCGTTGCGTAGACCTGAGTTCGATTTCTGCCAGCTGCGCAGCCTGCGCTGGAAGACAATTATGCTAAAACGTCTGGCCGGGTTTGAGGAGGTCCTCGGGATGGGGGCTCATCTTTTTTTATAATTTAAATTAAAATATTTTAGTCAAAAATCTTAATTCGAAGGGTAAAGTAATAATTATGGCCCATTGATTTTGAACATTATTTCGAGACACGAGAAAACAGTTCGCACTATGGAGTAATAAAGAATCAATGGAGAATTTGAAATGGATCAATAAATACTACTCGTAATTTTAAAATCTGTGTAATGTTGTACTCGTTAAATGACAATATGACAAACCATTTAATCAGAGAGTAAAACCAAATCCCTAACACTAGTTTGATTTAAGTAGTTTGAATGGGAAAAAAATTTTAAAAAAAAAATAGAGATTAGCACTATGTTTGGTTCAAGTAATTTGAGAGGGAAAAGAAAAGAAAATGAGAAAAAAACATTTTTATTGTTTGATTAGAAAAAAAAGATAAGAAAAGTGGAAGGAATAGAAAATGAGGGGTAAAAAATACTAAGAGTCCGTTTGGTATACGGAATTGACGGAATTGAAATTGAACTGGAAATGAAATTCAATGGGATTCAATTCCATAGAATTGAATTCTGCCAATTCCAATTCATTTTTTGCACTATCAATTCCAAATTCACATAATTTTTATGCTACCAAACACTAGAATTGGAATTGAAGTCCTCAATTCCAATTCCACAGTTTGAATTCCATGTACAAAACCAAATTATTGAGGAAAAAACAAGGTAGATGAAAAAATGAGAGAAAAAAAGAGAATCTTTTTGTTTTGGTAAGGAAATGAGAGAAAATCCCTTTTTGATTTTTTTTCTTTTGAATTTTAGGAACCAAACATAATTTCAAGGAAATAAAGTGTGAGATCCTAATGTCTTCTTTGGGAAGAGTATTTTCAATTAACATTAGCCTAGATTAAAACTTAACGGTGTAAATTTATTCTGAAAATACTGAAAGCTACATTGTTCATTTTTTTAAAAAAATAAGACATATGGCAATTTCTTTCCAATATAAAAAATTACTCCGTAGGACTTAATTAATTTTAATTACCTGGGAGATTCTTGTCGAGGTAAACGCGGCGGCGGCGTTGTTTGTTTCTCTCCAAATTCAATTCCTTTTCTTCTTCTTCTTCATCTTCCGCATTTCCATTATTACAAAACTCTGCAGTTTGGTGCTCCAAACAACTCTCTTCCTTGGCAATTTCACCATTCTTAACAACATCAGTGATAATATTGCTGACAGCCGTCGCGATGGCGGCGTCGTCGTCCGGCTGCGGCCGCAACCCCGACGGTCTGTTTCCGGCGACCTCGCCGTTGAAATGTTGCAGCACCTCCATGTGTGTGTTCGATAAATCACGACTTATTTACTGGCTGCAGATAATATATTTATAGATGGATGACTAGCTAGTGTGTGTTTGGCCCTTTTAAATACAATGTAATGTCACGGGTATACCATATTACCATTACTCTTCTCCTCACTTATTTGTCTATTCTACACTTCTTATCTATACTCAAATTTGTGGGGTGAAGGAATGTGGCATAAATTTGAGTAAATTCCATAAAAGGTCCTCAGGTATAGACCGTTTTATATATTTAGTCCCTACATATCAAATATTACTAATTTAATTCCCAATTATTATATTCATTTCAACGAATGGTCCTTTGTTAACATTTCCGTTAAGAACGTGGATAAAATTGAAAATTCACACTTCTTTATCTCATCAATTAAGCTTCCTCCCTCCTCTCGCACTCATTTCCCAAACCCGCCGCTGAGTTTGAAGTTTTGAATCCAAAACCGAAATCATCACTCTTCTCTCAATTGTTTGTCTTACTGGTGGAAACCAAATTCGAAACCAGTAACCTTCATGGATGTGTTTTAATGTTTATTTTCTTTGCAATTTTTGAAACTAACCTAAAAAACTCATCTATAAAGCTTATTGGTTTTGATTTTAGGTTCTACCAATAAGACTAATAATTGAGAGAAAAATGATCATTTCAGTTTTGGGTTTAGAGTTTCAAACTCAGCGACGAGTTTGGGAAAAGTATGAGAGGAGAGAAGAAGCTTAATTGAGGAGAGAGAAATATGAATATACAATTTTATCCACGTTCTTAACGGAAATGTTAACAAAGGACCATTCGTGGAAATAAATATAATAATTGGGGACTAAATTAGTAATATTTTATATATAGGAACTAAATATGTAAGACGACCTATAACTGGGGATCTTTTATGAAATTTACTCCATAAATTTAGATACATTTTTGATGTAGTTCTAACTTTTTTTTTAAATTATGGAGTGTGCTCCATGCATTACTTTATTTCAATTCAGTGTGAAGTCAGCTTTTACTTTCTCTTTTCTTTTATTTCTTCTTCCATGGAAATGTTTCCTCTTTCTCCTTCAATTTTTAATATTATTTGTTAATACCTATTTTAATTCAAATAAATATACTAAAAACATTAAAATTATAAAATAATTGAACATTTTATAAAAGACTCTAACAATTGAACATTTCATTAAAATATAAAATTTAAATAAGAATTTCAATAATTGTGCGACTAAGAAATATAATAAAAGTGCATAAAATTATACATTTTTAAAAGAAAAATAAGAACAATATTAAAAATAATCATAACAATAATAAAAACTAAACATCCCCGCTTGAGCCATCACCGGCCACACCTCCAAGCCACCTATGGGTTATCTTATCTTTCATCATCATCACCATTGCACGATCCCTCGGAACAAGATTATATTATCAACGTCGATGGTCATGATTTTGAAATCCTCTTGCTCTTATCGGATGGTAAAATTATAAATGCACCTCTTATCGGATCGATGGAAACATTAACCCAAGCTCTGGCTAGATAACGCTTCCTCTTCGGTAAGGGTCCAACTTTTTAGAGCACTACGAGTTGTGCTAGTTCCCCTTCACGTTTTCCCTTCCCTTTTGATTTTTTTGGAAGTTGTGTTTCGAGCACCACCTCATCGATATCGACTGATAGAATTTAGGATGGGGTAAGGATAATTGGATTTGGTGATAAGACACTTGGGCTGAACCACATTAAAATATTGAATCCAATCGATTAGTTAGTTCAACTCTAGAGCTTATATACCAATTATTTTTACTCTTAGACTTCCGGCGTGGGATGACACTCTAACACTCCCCCTTAAGTAGACAACCGGGTTATTTTGAATCTAAGCGGTTGAACACTTGCAAATGGACTTCTTCCCCTTAATTTTTTGAGCGCCAACATCTAAACGACCACGAGCCGCTTGGTATGGACTTCCAGACGAGCAATCGTGTTAAACAGGCCACCGACCGTTAGGTACATACTCCATGCACACAATTGGGCTAAAGACTAACGGGTCGTTAAAAATATACGTCTAGAGAGACACCTCGACAAACGAGGTAAACCAAAACCTGCTTTGATACCATGATAGAATTCTGATGGGTCGAGAAAAACGGGCAGAGTGTTGGCTAAAATTAACCACATGCATATTATAAAGTCGGAATCCACTATTCTAACCCAAAAGTTTAAGCTGATAGGTAGGATTTTACCTATTATGTATATGGTAGTTCCCCTATATATGTTGATGTCATTTCCTTTTGTAATTGTATCAATATAGAGTTTCTAGCATATATATATATATATATATATATATATATATATATATATATATATATATATATATATATATATAGCCTTTGTTCATATTGTATCATGAGAAAATACAAGAAAAATTCTTTTTTCCCAAAATATTATTCTTTCGAAGATTGAAAATAAACAAAAAAAAGACAAATAAGAAATTTCAAATAAATAAAACATAAATACACAAAAAATAAGACATCAACTAACAAAAAATACAAAAACAAACAAAAAAAAAGTTCACAAACAAAAAAAGATGGTAAACAACAAACAAATAATATTGAAATATCAGGTAAAAATAAAAACGAACAAAAATGTAACATAAAAAGACCAAAAACAAAACAAACAAACAAACAAACAAACAAACAGATAAAACAAATATTCAGAAAAAATTGAAAACATACAAAAAAAAATAACAAATAAAAACGACTGAAAACAAAAAAATGAAAAAAGTACTCTTAAAACGGAAACAAAAAAGAAAAGGAAGACTCAATGGCGGGAAGGGAGTGGAGGTGGAATGAGAGGAGGCTTTGATGAAGAAGAAAAAGAAAATGAAAAATGGGGGTGAAAGAACAAAAAGAAGGGAAAAGAAATATTACTTCCTTTCTTAAACTAGAATTTTTTCTTTTTTTTCAAAGTGTGGGTATTTTTTTATCGCGAAATATGAAAAAAAGTTTATTTTTTTATAATATAAATTTAATAAAATTGTATTTATTTTAAAATATAGTTTTGAAGTATCAAGTTATTATAATATTTAATTATAGTAAATTATATTTAATTTGTGGTCAAGGAGTGACAGAGTTTGACAAAAAGAAGCTAAACGTTGTCAGTCTTCTACTGACGGGGGAATATAAGATGCCAAAATAAAGAGTTTAAAATATACTCATATAAAATTATAATTTAGGCCAAATGCCTTGATTGTCACTGGTAAACCGACTTCATGAATCATTCGCAAAAATATTTTATAAGTTCAGGTGTGTGTATGATACTCCGTATAAAATGAAGTTTAGATCATAGAGTGAAAATTAGTTGAAAGTTTAGGTACTACGGAGTATATGTAATATTTATCATGTAATTTGTAGTATAGTTAGACCTTGAAAAAATTGGCAACCGAAGTCAAAAGTGAAATAAAAGTATAATATAAAGGCATGAGCTGAGAGCAACTCCAATGCATGAGTTCTATGCTAAAATATACAAGTTATACATGATTGTGTTGTCTTTTTCGGTTTTTCCTACTCCAATGGGTCATTTATAATTTAGCATGGAAGTTATAAAAGCAAGCATGTCATCTATATATAGAGGATGGTTAAAGCTAAAATGTGTTGTGTAATGCCTTTTTTCTCTTCGTATATTGTTTTGAAAAATAATATAATATTTTAATCACACTATTTACATAAATATAAATATAATATGGAAATATGAATAAAGTGTTTGTATAAAAAATTAATGTTATGTAAAAAAATATTATTAAAGTGTAAGCAATAGATGACATGGTTGGAGAGGGGGTTAAAAAGTGAGTTGTTAAAACACTTTTGGGAAGCTAAAATAGCTTTTAGGTTTTCAAATAATGGCGTCTCCCTTGGAGATGCTACGAGGGACTCATTTACTACTATCTCTCTTGCGAATGATTTGTCTTGTTTTTATTTTTATAATCAAATTTTGATGGGTGTATTTCACCTAGGACCCGGTCCGAATTTGGGTCCGCAGCAGCTGACCGGTCACATTCAAATATATTAAAATGGAAGACTTAAACGAAAATAGAGACGTTCGGTTGTTTTCGAAAAGCCAACTGGTACGGAATGTAAACCTACCGATCAGAGTACGTGACGTCATGCTGGCCTGGTGGTCTTCTGCCCCTTCAGAACGCATGAGTGATAAACCTACCGGGTAAGTTATAATGGTGTGAAAGTGTTAGCACCAATAGCTCCAAAGTCGGTTGGTTGGTAGTGACCCATTTCAACGAAAGATTGCGAGAATATTCCAACATCCTCATCTGGACACTACGTGCCAAAGGAGGTATACTCAGCACAAGATGACAAGGGAATAGGACAAAACACTACAGGACAATAGGAAGTCATCTTGTGTCATCTGAGAATGTGGGCTGATGTGGACGCGCGACGCTCTGTCCCCTCCATTTCCTTATAAATATATCTGTAGCCCTTGAATGAAAGGATCAAAATTTTATCTCTGTAAAGCATATTGTCTAATATATCCTCAAACCCTTCTATACACTTTATAACAATTGAATTACAGGTGTTTCCACCTACAGTCCTACCAGTCATTCTCTGTTTTCCTGCACCTTTCATTCTCTGAACTCAACAAGCTATCCTAGACCCGGTCTAGTATAGTGTGCCCGGGTGGTTAATTTACACCATCAAAACTGATAAAGTTTAGTTACGACGGGGTATTAATTAAATAAAATGGATTTTATTTATTGATATAAATAATTCTATTTGATTGATTTATCTTACAAAAAATTTTTATAATTCGTTTATCTTATTAATATATGTTAAAAAGAGTATCCCACATGTTAAAAAGAGTATCCCACTTGTAGTGAAAATAAATCGGTATATAAGCTCTTGAGGTGAACTAAGGCTCTGTTCCATTCAACTTATTTTTTCTGATCTGATCTGGTCTGATCTGTTCTGATCTGACCTGATCTGATCTGATTGGATCTCATCTGATTAATTATGATTTGATTTAAAATTCAAATCAATAATTTGATTTGAGTTTATAATAACGTTTGAAATTTTTAATGATAATTCATATTATAATATAATCAATATTTTTTATTTTATAATTATTTTTTAATAAAATAAAATTAGTTAAT